AAATCAATCCTAAATCCCCAAATCCATCCCAAATCCATCCCAAACCCCACAGCGGCCAGCCCGTTCTGTGCTGCGATGTGCAGGGGCCTGGGGATATGGGATCGATCCCAAATCACACCCCAAATCCATCCCAAATCCCCAAATCCATCCCAAATCCCATCCCAATCCCACAGCACCCAGCCCGTTCCGTGCTGCGATGTGCAGGGGCCTGGGGATCGATCCCAAATCAATCCTAAATACATCCTAAATACATCCTGAATCCCCAAATCCCATCCCAAACCCCACAGCGGCCAGCCCGTTCTGCGCCGCGATGTGCAGGGGCCTGGGGATATGGGATCAATCCCAAATCAATCCTAAATCCATCCTAAATCCCAAAATCCCACCCCAAATCCATCCCAAATTCCCAAATCCCATCCCAAATCCCATCCCAAATCTCTGAATCTCATCCCAAATCACAGAATCCAATCCTGAATCCCATCCCGAATCCCACCCCACAATCCCATCCCAAATCCCAAATAAATACATTTTCCCCAATTTACCCAGTTATCCCAATTTTTCTCAATTTTTTCCCATTTTCCCAATTTTCCCGTTTTTCCCCCCAATCCAGCAGTGCACTCACATCTGCAGCGCGCTGTTGCTTGCATTGATAAGGCCGAGCTCTCGAATTTCCCCATTTTTTCCCATTTTTTCCCCAATTTTTTTCCAATTTTCCCATTTTTTTCCCCTTTTTTCCTGTTTTTTCCCAATTTTCCTGTTTTTGCCCCAATCCAGCTGTGCACTCACATCTGCAGCGCGCTGTTGCTTCCATTGATAAGGCCGAGCTCTCGGATTTCCCCATTTTTTCCCATTTTTTCCCATTTTTTCCCCATTTTTTCCATTTTTTTCCCGTTTTTTCCCATTTTTCCCTATTTTCCCCATTTTTCCCATTTTTTCCCCCAATCCAGCTGTGCACTCACATCTGCAGCGCGCTGTTGCTTGCATTGATAAGGCCGAGCTCTCGGATTTCCCATTTTTCCCCATTTTTTCCCATTTTTTTTCCCGTTTTCCCCAAATTTTCCCTTTTTTTCTGTTTTTTCCACTTTTTCCCAATTTTCCCGTTTTTTGCCCCAATCCAGCCGTGCACTCACATCTGCAGCGCGCTGTTGCTTGCATTGATAAGGCCGAGGTCTTGGGTTTCCCCCAGGATCAACAAGGCACACTTTTCATGGCCCTATAAGGGAAAAACGGGGGATTTTGGGGTCGGGAGAGCCCGAATTGGAGCGGGACGGGATTTGGGGTGGGATTTGGGATGGGATTTGGGATAGGATTTGGGATGGGATTAATATGGGATTTGGGGTGGGATTTGGGGCAGGATTTGGGATGGGATGCCCATATGGGATTCCAGGATAGGATCCTGGGAGGGGATTTGGGATGGGATTAGGAGCAGGATTTGGGATGGGATTTGGGATGGGATTTGGGATGGGAT